GAAAATCCTGACTATACTTATTGATAAAGACAAGGCTTAAGATATAACTCTGCAAGTTCCTGCTGCAGATCAATAATGCTGCTCATGTAAGTCGGACACAAATGTTTGGAAATATTGACGAAAAGAAAGTTTTTTTCAGTCTTCAACGAAATGCGAAAAGCTTTTCTTTCTAGCGGGGTAAGATATACATTACTCTATTAATATTGGATATACCAATAATCACATTTCAATGTTCTCTATAACCATAATAATTATGTATTAATCCTCTGTATGTTAAAATGTGCAATTGTGATGTTGACTATTAAATTAAAGTTTAATTTAAATAAGTTGCACACACACACACTGTATATTATAACAATTGTCAAATGCTCATAACATTTGATTTAACACATGAGTTGGACAGGTCAAAGACTGATCGCACCTTAAATTATATAAACATGTTTCGGCTAAAGCCGAGCCTGATTTTCATTTTCTTATAAAAGATGATCAGTTTGTGGAGTTGCTGTTAACAAAGCTCCTCAATGGATTATCTTTGATATGCTCACTACAGGGATCGAAAACCGAATTTTAGCGTAATAAGCTCTCAAGCTCACCGTTGAGTCACTGGAGAACATGGTCGGATGTAAAAAGATTTATTAATGCTCGGACTCGCACTCAGTCGTATCTCTGTAGGTTTCTTTTTCCTCTAATTCGAATTGGACCGGACCTGAAGTTCGAAAAACAGACAGATTCGGGCATGAAAAATTAAGTCCAAACTCACTTCTATTTTACGTCCATAAAAACGGATATACATAATTTATCCTTTGCAGCATTATATCTGAGGTTCATCAAAACAGAAAGAAGAAAAAAATGTTCCACTTTATTGTGTTCTCAAAACAAACTCAGTGGAAAACTGTTTGGTTTCGTGTTATAAGTATTTCTAGACCATAAGGCCTCGTACTTGTTATGTTTTACAGTTGTTATCAATATACAGTATGTTTGTCGACCCATCCAATGTATGTCTCGTTAGATGAGACGTATAATAATAGTTTAGTGCATGTTAGCAGCTCTTGGCATAGTTACGGATAGTGTTGGAATTGTAATGCTCGACCATGACAGATATTTCATATCAAAGAAAACATTTTTCGAGTAATACGGCCCATAAAAATCTCACCCACAAAACTTCTAAAACTAAAGTGAAGGCCCGGCATGGCCAGGTGGTTATGGCGCTCGACTCGCAATCTGAGGGTCACGGGTTCGAATCCCCGTCCCGCCAAACA